ATAACAAGAGCCAGTCACCGGAGAGTGATTAATCACAGAAACAAACTACCTAGTGAAGTGCAGGATCCTCTCTCTTCTGGAGTCTTTGAATCACAACCGGAGGCCTGTCTGGAAGACAGTTTCTGGTCTGCAGAATCCTGAGGGCTGTGAGAGCAGATCAGAGGAAGAATTATCATGCAGCTACCCTCATGCAGCTGATACTGGGCTGATTTTAAGTGTAAGCCCTGTGTGCATTAGCCCAGTACAAACTAAAGGGTTAAAAGCCTTCTGTATCATGTTGGTATCCAAGCGAGTCATGCCAGCCTCCCTTGTCCTTACAGTGTTTTTGTCTCAGAGTCCGTGTTACACACAGTTGTGAAAAATCGTCTCATGAGATGTGACTCTGCTATGTTTGGAGAGGGACTGGTGAAAAAAAATGTCTTCAGCGTTTTGACAAGTTATTTGGATTCTGTGGTGGTGAAGAAAGGAAGAACCAGAATGAGCCCGTACAGCTCTACAGTTTTAAAGTGGGACAGGGAGCAGAGAGGAAAGAAAGTGGATCTGTAGCACAAAGAGAATGGAGGTTTCTTTCTGTAGAGATCAGAGCGAGATCAGAAGAGAGGGATGATGCTAGGGGGTGGTTACAGCTAGGATCAGAAATCCCAAACATTCCGAAATAACAACACAGAACGTCTCCATGTCACAAGATTTATCTTAAAATTATGAAATGTCGTACAGACTTGCTTTCATCTGCACTCTTCGCCTCCTACTTTCGGCTCTTTTGGTTACATGAAAATCACATTTCACAGTTTCCCTGTGACCATAAAGATAGGTGTTTGCTTTGTGAGGAAAGCAAAAGCACAGAAGTTACTGCCTCTAGGAGGCTGGGATTTAATTTCAACACCCAGCACTCCAATCTAGGGATGAGGCCAAAGTTTTGCTAAGTTGTGGAGATGTTACCCATGACTTTTGCACTCGTGAAGACAATGACCTCCTCATTTGGGGAGCATGGGATCTGAGTCACTGAAAGGACCTTTTGGTCTTTGTCCTTGATGCAGGATAAAAAAGGAGCAGACAAAAACATGGGGACCCAGCACACAGACCATAGGAATTGGGGACAAAGTGGAGGAGGAGACAGAGAGCATCATGTAAGCTAGGATGCTCAGGCTGCCAGGCTTTATCTAACTAATAATGAAAGGCAGCAAGCGTGTCAGAGAGTGTGAGAGAAACAGATCGATAGAGAGATAAAACTGAGATGGAAGGAGCCGGCAAGGGGGTGGGGAAGAGAGTAATAAAACACTACAAATCAGCAGGGTTACGTTTGAAGCTGATTTGAATGCACCCTGCACTGGTGTAAGTGAAGACAGCAGGTGTGAGGCTACGGTGAATCAGGCCTAAATACAGAAACAGGGAGGGAAAAGCAGAGAGGAGATGGTGCCCTTGTCAATATTGCCCTGCAACCTACCTTCACAGCTCTCAGCCAACATTACCTGCCTGCCTCTCCCTTCATCCTGCTGCATGGAGAAGCCAAAGATTGCTGGCTCTGAGAATACAGATAGACTTTCCTGCTTCCCTGGGTCATCATGATCTTCCTGAAGAAATGCCTGGTGGGTAAAATGTGTCTTGGTCCCATTTTACCTGACTGGAGCCTAGGAAATGCTCCTTTCTGCTTTGTTCATTGAGGACCCAGAGTAGCTTCCAACAATGCCCAGAGCCACTGGGTGTGAGGCCCTTTCCTGGGAGATGCTCAGTTACCAGTGGAAGATGATCAGAGAAGTTTCTTTGCTCAGCTTCAGATTTTTGAGGCAAAGGAGACCGTGACATCTCAAGGCTAAAATGGTCAGATAAATGAGAATGGTTCACATAAATGAAAATGTGCCCTACAAGAGCAGGACTGAGGGGTTTTGGGTGCTCTCCCCTCGCAGGGCACATCTTTGCTTCTCTGGCCCAGCACTCAGACCTGTTTTCCTCCTTGTGCCTGGAATTCCTTTTAAGGGATGTCCACCTAATCTTCGTGGCACGATCATTAATGTTACAAGTTCAGTTTTTCACACTGACCATGGCTGTCCTCACTGTTCCCTCCTTCTGTCAGTGGCCTCAGTGAGGAGACCAAACACTAAAGGAGCTTAGGGACTGAAGAGAGTGACCCTGAGCTGTACAAATGAGCTTGGGAGACAACGATGCAGCTCCCCAAGGCAGCCAGGGGTTATGTTTCCTAGCTCTGAAATTGTGTTTGGAGTGAACTGTGCCCCAAAGGAGCCTTCTCCGTGACTCAGCCACAGCAGCTGTGTGACAAGAAGTAGAGTCAAAGCAGGAGATGAGAGTTGTTGATACTGGCAAGTACAACCTTAACAAACGTAGACTTTACCCAGATGAAGACTTCAAGATGTTACACTTATTTCAAGATGTTGCACTTACAGAAGTCTGGCAAAGCACAAGTCAACTGCCTTTAATATGTGCTAAACTGATCCAGCTGAAGCCCAAATCTCTTTCTGGCAATCATGTGCTGGAGTGCAAACTTGCCCTGATGGCTCTATGATTTTAACATCCTAAAACCATGCTGCCGGCATAGACTGTATCAGATTCCCATCAATTTGTTGCCTCTTTTTATTTCATGGAAAATCTGTGGGTTTCTGAAGGAGCCAGCCATGAGGAAATTGGCGATGCACTGGAAACTCTTGGCCAAACAGCTTAATATTGCTTATTGAAATGCACACTGCCTGCTCTCCTCCCAGTCCCCTCACCACTCACCTCTGCCCACCGTGTGATTTATACAAGATGAGAAGAGCTCTGAAGGTGTGGGTGTTTTTTTCCCCAAATGACCCCCAGTTTCTGTTCTCTCTCACCTGGCACAGGGAAGCATGCCCTCAGCAATGACCGCATTGCTGTAACTCATACACCCACCAAGAGGTACTTAAGGTGCACTAGAAACATTTCTATCCTTGTGGAGTGTTTAAACTATCGTTTTATGGCAATACCCTGCCTGCATCAGGGATGCATTTCTTGACAAGTGCGATGGTTAATGATTCAGCAGATAGTAAAGTCATTTTTTTGTAAAAATTAATGCAGTAGAGGAGGGGAGGCATGCAGGGATTTAAGAAATGCACGGCTTAAATACATAAGTACAGTGCTTTGCAACATAAGATTTTTTACATTTACATATCCCCAAAATAGTGAGATCTTAATGGTGTGAAAGCAAAAACGAGAGCGATGTGTGGGCACACACAAGGTATTCCATGCACCTCTTTTAATTCTGGCGTGGTGCTTATAGAATAGATCACTGAGATGTGAAAAACACCATGCCATATAGTAGTGCATCTGTTTTCTCACCAGCTATTTCAACATTAATCATAGAATCACAGAATGGTTTGGGTTGGAAGGGACCTTAAAAATCATCTTGTTCCAACACCCCTGCTGGAGGCAGGGAGCTGTGCTATTAGACCACGCTGCTCAGAGCGCCATCAATCCTGGCCTCGAACATTTCCAGGTATAGGGATGAAGAGCAGATATTCACCAGACTGGCAAGACCCATAAATACGTGGATGTTCATCTGGCATTGATTGCCTTGCTGGGACACATCTCACTGTGGCTGAGCAGCTTGGGGAGTTTCGACAGAGGATGGATGGGTCGTGAAAAATAACAGAGCAGTGAGCACACAACAGCTGCTGGTGAGCAGGGCAGGGCATGAGAACAGCGCAGAAAGGAGCTGGTGCCTGGGACCAGCAGGGCCAAAAGGCTGGGGACCA